ATTGTCTGAGATGAGAGAAGACGACATAGCGCGCCAAGAAGAGAGGGAACAAGCGGGCCGGAGATATCAGGCGAGGGTAGCCGCGAGAGCAGGACAGTTGCAAGCAGCAGCAGCTAGACAGGAGTCCAGGGTTTCAGGGATGACAGGTCTGAGAGGGGCGTGCTTGTTTTGCAAGCAGGATGGTCACTATGTGAAAGAGTGTCCTGTGTTGAAAGACGTGGTGTGTCATACGTGTAGCAAGAGAGATCATACTACGAGATGCTGTCCTACAACACGATCCGGGGGTAATTTATCGGCAGCAGCGTCTGGGGAGGTGCGTATGAGTGCAGATGGGACACCTGATTTGTGACATGCGGCGGCGGCTAGTTATGAAGGACCAGGCCAACCGTTGATCTATAGTTATGTGGAGAGTGAACAGTGCTATGTCGATATGTTTGTTGATCAAGGCGCCGATATGTCGATGATTTCTAAGGGTTTGGCAGAACGTCTGGGGCTGGTTGCTCAGTATAATTTGTGTGGAGAGTTTTATACAAGGTGCGAGATGTTGATGTTGTTTTGCCTACTTTAGTAGGAGAAAGGAGGGTTAAGTTGGATATGTGGGTTATGGATTGTATTCCACACAATGCGGGTATGTTGTTAGGTAGACGTGAATTGAATGGGTATGGATTAACTGGGGTAGTACTCACTAGGCAAGGGGTGACTAAGTATACACTGTTTCCGGTTGAGGTGATAAGAGAGAAGTCATCAGACTTTAAGACCTGGCTGAACAAAGAGGCGTCTGAGCCGTGTTAGATTATATTCAGTATGTGGCGGCGCCGTTATTATATCAGCGAGCAGAACAGGTAACACCATTTCATATGCAAAATGATGGGGGTTATGATTCAGGCTATGAAAGTGATGAATCCGGGGTTGAGGACGATTATCTAATGTTCGATACGAGTGGCTTGGAACTGTTGGCTGAAGAACTGGAGAAGTCTATGGAAGAATTGGCAGAGTTGGTGGCGGCTAATAGGAGGGTGGCGTACAATGACAAGAAACCAAAGTTTGTGAAGGATCGGATGCTTAAGCTTCAGATCAAAGAAGGAGGGGCGCCTTTGAGACAAGTATATGCGGAGAAAGATGTGCGACTTATAGAAGTGATGAAGAAAAAGGTGCAACTATTGCTTGAAGCTGGGTTGATAGAGAGGGTGCAAGATACGGATTGGCTTACAGTGCCGAAACTTGTGCCTAAAGTGCCGGGTAGTAATCCCAGTTATGAGGAACCCAAGGATTGGAGGATGTGCATAAATTATATGCGTACGAATTATCAGCTAAATTCGGGTACATATCCGATACCAACAGAAGGTGAATTTCTGGCAACAGTTAAGGGGTGCAAGTGGAGAACCAATGTGGATGCTGGAAATGGGTTTGGGCAGTTAATGATAGAGCCTGGTAGTCGAGGGGTTACTGCATTATTGACGCCCTGGGGAGAGTGATTCCAATTTATTGGGATGCCGTTTGGGTTGAAGGAAGCATCATTTGTGTTCCAACAACTAATGGATGAGACATTGGAAGGATTTAAAGGAATTAAGACGTACATTGATGATACCGCGTTAGGTTCGGATGATCCAGCTGAGCATTGAGATGGTATTGTGGAGATGATCAGGCACTTTGAGGCGAAAGGGATACAGTTGCGGCTGTCAAAATGTAATTTTGCGTATCGAGAAGATCCTATAGTCGTGATGGGTCGAGAAGTTACAGATAAGGGTTCGATGATAAGTGAAGTAAAGCTTCAGGCGTTATTAAATATGCCCAGGCCCAAAACTAAGGCCGAAGTCAGGTCGTGGTATCAGTGTTTTGGATGGTGGGCGAGATACGTTCCGAATTTCTCAAATATGTTGGCTCCAATTAGTGATTTGACTAAGAAGAAGGTACGGTTCCAGTGGGGTCATGAGCAGTAGAAGGTATTTCGGTCGGCTCGGAAGATTTTGCAGGCGAAGACAGTCTTGGTAGAACCTAAACAAGAGGAGCAACTTAGGTTGCAGACAGATGCGTCGGATTCGGGTATAGGTGCTTGTTTATGTGTGAGAAGAGATGGAGAATGGCTTCCTGTGGGCTTTGTGAGTTCCAAGATAGATTTCCATGCTAATTTGTCTCCGACCGATAGAGAATTGATAGCGCTAGCATATGGGGTTTTGAAGTTCGCGGGTGTGATTAGGAGATCGTACGAGGTGCTTATAGTAGAGATGGATCATCAGCCTCTAATTGGTGTGGTTCAGCAGGTAGAGTTCACGTCGAATCCAGTGGGTAAGAGACGGTACAGGAATGTTATGTATGTACGATCGTTTGATATGGATGTACGGTACCTGGAAGGGCCAAAGAACGAAGTTGCGGATGGACTTAGTCGTATGCCGTGGTGGTTTGATCCTATTATGGTGCCTGTGTCGGTAGAGGGTGTTACGTTCGCTACATGTGCAAAAATGGGTCTGCCAGAGATTGATGAAGGTGTGGATTTGTCATTTGATAAAGTCTGCACGAGTGTGGAAGACAGGAGGGTCCGGCTGGCGGTGGCTAAAGAGAAGCTGCGAGTGTTAGAGGAGAGTCTTGATGACAAGGTCAGTGCCGACTTCAAGGTTCGTGTGGGTTTCATGCATCAGCAGGTTACTGCAGTGATGGAGAGAGGTATTGCTAAGATGTGGGATCCGGATGTAATGGCTAGCGAACAGCTTAAGTGTATTGGTCTAAGTGTATGGTCAGAACTTGTTCAGCCTTTGCAAAAGTACGTTATTACGCTGGTGCATCAGACTTTAGCGCATGCTAGGGTAGAAAGGATATAGGAGTTCCTGAAGGTTAATTATGGAGAGGAAGTGTTGCGTTCGCAGGTTGTGAAGGTTTTGAAGAGTTGTGTTGCGTGTCAACAAGTTGAGGGGCTTCGTGGGACTACAGGTTTGTTAATGCAGCCTGAGAGGCCGAAAGGGGTTACAGTGTGTATAGGCATGGATCATTTGACCTTGCCAAGGACAGTTCACGGTTTCGAAGGTATAGTAGTGGCCATAGATCATTTTTCGAGGATGGTGTGGTGTCGGCCATACACATTGGAAGAGAAGAATACTAAAGGGGTATTAGAGTTTGTTCAACAACAAGTGTTGCCTTGGGGTACACCTAAGAAGGTAGTGATGGATGAGGGTGGTCCGTTCGCTTCAGCAGATATGAAAAGTTTCTGGGCAGAGAGAGGTACAGAATGCCATTACGTATCAGTAAAAAGGCATCAGGGCAATGGTAGGGCAGAGAGGGTCTTGTGTACGATTGTGGATTGGCTTGCTAAGAGCTTGTCGGTTGGGGAGGAAACCTTATGGCCAGGATATATATATTCAGTTATGTTGGCGTACCCTGCGACAGTGAATTCGGCCACGGGTATCAGCCCATACTATCATGTTACGGGCCGGCATTATACGAGGCAGGCTGATAGAGTAATTCAGGCGAAGTTGTTAGAGGTGATAGGTTCTGAGCTTCTGAGTGAAGCTGCTGTGCGGGATAGATCGGTGACCATTAGAGATGAAGTAGCGAAGGAGGCGCAGGCAAAGGCGGGAGACAAGAATAGAAAAGAGGCACCAGATTGGCAGCCGGGGCAGTTGGTTTGGTATACTGGTAAGTCGAAGGATAGTAAGTTGGCGAAAACCTATTTAGTAAGAGGCACGATTGTTAAGTGGGAACACTTACAAGGGATGTACAAGGTCAGAATTAATGGGAAGGTTAAGTCAATACATGTGGATCAGCTTAAGGTGAGGTTAGAGGATCCGAAGCACGAGGCCAGTATTAGAATGCGTAGGAGGGAAGCTTGTTTGATCTGGCTCTACAATTATACTGATGAAGGGGTAGCTAGTGTTACAGAACTTGATGGTGGCAGTAATGCAATCAACAAAGATGGGGAGGACTTGGTTATATGCCATGAATTCAGCTTTTGGTATATGTGTTGATACGATAGTCGGTGCGGCGAAGCGAGGGGAGAGTAAGGGCGTGGTAGAAGATACTTTGGATTTGGCTATGAAGCATCACTTCAAAAAGAACAGGTGGAACAAGTTGCAGATGTTCTTCCAGGTTGCGAGGGATCCGATTTTGCGGAAGAAGCAGTTGAGTAAATGGTTGAATGAATGAACTCGACACTAATGTCTTGTTCATTGGGAGATGTAATGTCAACCATGTTTACCTCCGGTTTAAAACAATGTTGGTGTTGTAAGTACCGAACTGTTCGGTAATGTTCCTGGGCGTTAATAAGAGTGCGAGAACTTCTAAGAGTGGGCGATAACTTATAAGTGTGAAAACTTAATAAGTTTGAAAAGTTCTAAGTTGTATTGTGCGGTTTGTTGGCGAACGGCCGCGCAGGCTCGAAAGAAGAGGAGGTTGGTGTATGATTGGTTCTTTGCGAACCGAAGTGCGGGGTAATATGAGCTGGAGGTTGGCAGATGACGATATATGTTGAATGGACTTGTAGGCTCGAAATTGAGTAGATATACGATTTGATTGGCGGCAGGATTCTCAAGGAAATCCTTCGGAGATAGTATAAATACGTGGTTTAGTTCATTCAAGAAGTTCATTCTGCTAGGGTAGACGTTTATTCAACTATCAAGGAAATAAAACTAGGTTCACCGTTACATTGTGTTTTGAATCGATCAAGATTACAAATAAACGTTAGCGGAAAAAGGTTTTAGGGTTTAGGTTTACAATTATATTTTATTAAAATTTGGTCGTGCGGCAGGCAAAAAAATTGTTTGACCACCAGGGTGGAAGATATAAAAAGTGTGTTTTTTTTTCGACTACCACCCAATTTGATACAAATCGTTTGGTGGTATGTTTCAACTTTGCCCGTCTTAATATCATGTGTTGGTTTAGGGATGTTTTTCTCGGGGGGTGCTGAGACTGGTAAACACTGGGCTATGGGAGTCTTGTTCATCCGGATTCGCTCTAGTATCATGACTTGTTTGTCGTAGTTGGATTCGGTTGCCCAACGTTAGAAGCTCCAATCCATATTTAAAACACTTTAATCAATAAACATATTGGCATTTAGGTATTCATGGACCAAATCGAGCTCAATGACAGTATTTGAAAAACAAAGAAGTACTTTAATGTATCAGTGACTTCTAAACTGGCAGTCTGAAAAACATCTTTCCAGTAACGTCAATAGTTCTGACTGCAACCGGCTTCTTCCTCAGCATTAGGCGGTCGCTTCCTTATTGTTGGCGGCGAAAGTGGCCATTCTATCTTCGATCTCGGGGCGGAACTTTCGTACCAGGCCTAAGATGCACACGAAAGATCACACTACAATCAGAACAAGAAATTGACTACAAAACCAGTGACAACCTTTTTCGAACCCAGAAACAGTTTATAAATCGAGATCAGCAATGTGTATAAATAATCTTTGTTGACCATGAACATAATTACTGAGAAAAATTTCGTCATCCTTTGCTGAATAACGAGACAAACGCCATTTTCATGTCAAAAATTGTGAGTAATCATAAACCACATGGAAAAACCTAAAAGTAAGCGACAGCGCATACCTTGTACGGGCCAGGCGGCGGCATCTCCAAGGGCACAGATGGTGTGTCCCTAATTAATAAAAGATTTAGAGATTACTTGTTAGGTTCGCCAAAAAAATAGGAGGCGAGTGCAGATGCATTGTCAGATAGAGAGGCCGATTCTCACATATAGCTTACCTTGAAAAATGGCTGGTAGTTACAATTGATACAAGTGAAATAATTTCTATAATACTTAGGTTAAGGATCGAAACTGCAAATATGCACAATGGATCTAGTAAATACACACATAGAAACGAGAGGAAACAAAAACAGGTCGTTTGAGAATTTGAAACGACCGTTACAAATTACACACCTCGATCTGCTTCGTGAGTTCAATAAGCATATCAATTTCTTGAGGTTTAGCATCACCAGTCACAAAGCGCTGCATAACTTTGTTAAGCCAAGTGGTGCCCTCGCGACATGGGGTGCATTGCCCACAACTCTCGTGCTGTGCAGGAGAAGACAGAGGAAGGAAGTGGCCAATCAGCACAGAGCCTTGGATATTTATATGATATTCAATGAAATATTGCCAATTTATTTCGATGTAACACTCGGTTCCGGCATCAGCATTGAAATATTACCGATAATAAAGCCCATATTTTGTTTTGGTTTAAAATATAGGCGAAACACGAATAACACACGATATAGACAACAGAGGCAGGTTATTTGAGCATATGAAAGGGTGTAGAATAGCCGCACTAAACGTACATACTCCGGAAATTCAAATGACCGCGGATTGGGCCCTCCTATTAGTACCTTTTTGGAAGCACAATGTCTAAACGAACAAAAAAAAACCCCTCCAACTCAACTAAAGCATGTAGAGACAAATGTCACATACCGCATAGAACGATGCTAGACGAGCAATGATAGATACGATATCCGTGCTCTTATCCATCACAATGACAGCAGCGGTACCAAGACCACTGGTCAAGTCCTTCAAAGCATCGAAGTCCATGAGCACATCCTTACAGTCGTTCTGATTCAGAACGGGTACGGACGAACCGCCGGGGATGACTGCGAGAAGGTTATCCCACCCTCCACGCACACCTGAAGTACATTGAACAAGATAAAACCGCTTTGCGATAAGCTAGTTGAGACAATTGAACGTTCAACTATCAGATAAGAACGAATTCGAGAATTACAAGCGGCCCTTGAGAGCGAGAGCATCGGCGCACGAAGGCATCCGTCGACAACTTACCACCACAGTGCCTTTCCAATAACTCCTTGAGTGGAATGGACATCTCTTCCTCCACGGTACAGGGATTGTTGACGTGTCCCGATATGCAGAATAACTTAGTTCCTTCGTTACGCGGTCGACCAAATCCGGCGAACCAAGCTCCACCACTTAAAAAGGATGATGTGACCAGTATAAGATTGCATATAGATGTTCAACAAGTGGAGTCAGGTAGGCCATTTTACAGCGCCAAGAACGAACATAACCGAACATCATGAGACAAACACCTAACAAACGATCTACCAAGGCCTCCCGGCGCCAACTCATGCGAAACCATCGGCACCCCACAAAAACAACAATGGTACACCAGTGACTTACCGACGACAGATAGTAGGAGCCACGGCGACAGTCTCAACGTTTGCTACGGTTGTTGGGCAACCGAAAACACCCACATCAGCGGGAAATGGGGGCTTTAGGCGAGGTTTTCCCTATAAGATAGAGTCGCGTTGTATTTTGAATTGGCAGAAGATAGAGCCGCATTGTATTTTGAATTGGCAAAAGATAGAGCCGCGTTCTATTTTGAATTGGCAGAAGATAGAGTCACGTTGTGATTTGAACTGGTATAAAATAGAGTCGCTTTGGATTTTAAATTGGTATATATAAAAAGCGCTTTGTATTTTGATTGGGATAATATAAGAGTCGCGCTGTATTTAAAAATCGGTATAAGATAGAGTCGCTTTGTATTTTAAATTGGTACAAGATAGTCACGTTCGTAATTTGAATTGGTATACGATGTCGCATAGTAATTTGAATTGGTATAAGATGGAGCCGCATAGTAATTTGAAATGGTATAAGATAAGTCGCATAGTGATTTGAATTGGTATAAGATAGAGTCGCGTAGTATTTCGAGTCGGTATAAGAAAGTCGCGTTGTTTTTGAATTGCATGCAGAATATGTCTCACGCTTTATACTACACCGTACCCCCGATCAAAACGCACAATTGATATTGAATGTTCATCAATTGTAACTTCGAAGCAGGATAAATACTGTTTCCAAGAGAAAAACCGACTTTCATTTCAGAATAAGAGCATCGTACTTACCTGCTTACCCTCGAGCGACTCGATCAACGACGTTTCCTCGCCGCACACATAGGCACCAGCCCCTCTGTGCATGAAGATATCAAAGTCATACCCGGAATTGCACGCGTTCTTACCGATAAGCCCATCAGCATAGGCTTCGTTAATAGCATATTGCAAGTTGCTAGCCTCATTGTAGAACTAAAAACAGAGCAGTACAGCAGTGCGAGTGATTAATACCAAAATGTACAATGGTCACCGCCTGTAAGGCTTTCGGGGTTCTTTCATAATAAGTAGAGACTTATGACGGTTGTGTACACTAAAAGCGAGCGCGAAGAAAAAAAGAGCAGGAGGCGAGCCAGGATACTATATTGGTAGGCGTGACATGAAAAAAACAAAACAACAAAAACAAAAACCTAGTTGATTATTCTAAACATGACAAAACAAGAAAATAGCCAAACTTAATAGCAAATTGGGGAAGGCAATAGACAAGAAGCTGATTACCTCTCCACGGATGTAAATATAAGCCGCACGCGCACCCATAGCCCGTCCTGCGACCAGACAGCCTTCCACGAGCGTATGGGGGTCAGATCGCATGATCTCGCGATCCTTGCAGGTTCCCGGCTCACCTTCATCGGCATTTACTACCAAGTACTTGGGGCGACCGTCGGACGGCTGGAGGGAGGCAGGTACATTACCGAAATGAGAAACCATCTAAAATTTGAAACTACCATTTAAAAGCCGATTATTCTCTCGACGATAGGATGATTGCATGCTATGCCAGCAACAATCAAGTCCTAGGCTACTGGGGCCAAGTCCAAGTTTATTCGTACCTAGCAAAATGTGCGGTAAGGACTCAACAACAACTAAAGAAGGCTTATCCTCAGAGTACATAGAACGGTCAAGCTACACTACATTTACAGCTCAAATGCAAGGTATCTAATACATCAACAAGGTGATTCAAAGAATTGTAGCAACATTTCTACCTTGTCCATGAAACTCCATTTCAACCCAGAAGGGAAACCTGCACCACCGCGACCGCGAAGCCCGGACGCCTTGACCTCGCCCAAGATCCATTTGTGACCTTTCTCGATAATCTCCTGCCAAATAATTAAAATAAATCATGAGTGATATACAATGATAGGCTTCCAACAGCCGGAAAGGAAAATCAGAACAAACGCGCTCGGAAAAGAGATCGTATGCTGGAAATGGCGATAAGTAGGATGGGTATTATATTTACCTTAGTTTTATACCAGTGACCTCGTGATTTGGCACCCTTCAGCTTCCAATCGTGAAAACCATAAATATTGGTGAAGATTCTATCTTGATCCTTGAGACCGCCTACCCAAAAAAAATAAAAAATAAAAAATAGCACACAGGTGAAATTGATATATAGTTGTGCCTTGCAGGCGGAATATATAGCACATCCGACTACCGACTAAAAAAACAACCCCCCAGTGAACAACCGTCAAACATTCGCATATACACGTATACATTATGCGCATGCTGGATGCACAAAAATGCATATACCGACAACAGACAGACTAACACGAGTACTCCCTAGGTACATACCATACGTCCGCTCGGTAGAATAGGCTGAGCTTACAGCGCTATTCAGCACAGGAGCGGCGACTGCGTAGGATGAGGTCCTCGAAAGGCCTGGTACAAATGGAAAGAGTGCAATGCCTGAGTATGTGTGTAGCGTATATGAGACCTAGTAAAGACAGTAGAGATTGCAATATCATACATACAGGGACACCTGTACGCTCATGAACGGTAATGCCAGTATAGCTCGACTATAGATGTGTACAGTACGTGCCCGTGTAAGTCGATTACATCAAATCAAGTACAAGTGCACGCAAGCGCAAACCTAGTGTAGAAAATTCTATCGAAATTGATAGACAAGTCATTGATTGACAGTTGCGCAAAATTTCCTTTGGCAGACAACGGAGATGGACAGATGTAGAACGGAATGAATTGTGCATAACTGGTAGCTGAAAATGATAGAGCACAGATCCCGGATAACGAAATACAATACGTGTATCACACATACCGGTGAACAACACATGCATGTAGATAGAAACTACGAGATGTTGACACTGTAATCTGCGATACAATCCAACCGGAAAAGCATGACACATGATCGTAAACTGCAGTAATCACTATAACACAGGTGGTATCAATATCGTTCCAGTTGGCTACACTTTGATACCTGAAAGAAATATCCATACATACAATACCACGTAATAGGATGCAAGAAAATTTCACACACACATGCATATATGAACAAACTCATAGCAATGAGAATGATCGAATATCTCGTATTGATTTTTATGAAATACGTGATTATAAAAATATACCTTCTTACAATTACCGATTATACATACGATATGCTCGCGGAGAAAAGCGATACAAACAACGCATAATATATGTACACGTATGTTGCATTATGTAAGTGAGTATGCCACTATATATAACAGAAATTGTGATACATATCAATATCTGCATATGTATGTACATATCCAAAGACGAAAGTCAACGTCATGTGCGAGCACAAACGAATGAACATATGTAAAGCAATACCTATATACATGAATACACACACACACATCAAGTAGCGTGTAAATCTGAATAGATGCATACATAAATGTATAAAAAATAAAAACATGTAAACATAACGTGCACGTATATACATGAATAAGGTACATATATAATATATATACATAGATATACGTACACATACACGAACGCGTACATACACACACACACACATATATATATATACATATAAAGAAATACATATACACACACATGTATAAACATGATATACATTTGCTTGTTCGTTCACAAATGCACAAACCCATGCTTGGATGTATTTTATTATATATATATATATATACGTAGACATAGACACGTCCGATATACAAATATTGATACCTAGACTCACTAACATAAACTTCATCAAATAGGTGCCATACATATACACATACAAACTTCCAAAACATAACGATACACAGTCACAGACACAGACACAGAAACACACACACATCTATATATATATATATATATATAGTCACATACACAATGCGCACACGCACACGCATGCATATATATATATATATATATATATGCTGTCGTTTCTCTATTTGTGTTAAATTTCTTTATCAAACAGCCCTTTCGGGGAATACACAAATTTTGGGTCTGCACATTAGTTACAGTTTACATATGCAACTGCCGTTGACGCATATGCAACTGCCAAAAATGATATCCGTACAGTATGTGCAACGGTGCTGAACACAATGCGCATTATATTGGTAATAAAAGGCGAGTGCAGTGAGTATACAACATTAGACATATGTTCATCGTCGTTGACGTACACTGCGTCTACTACCGTACATCAGTAAGACTTTCAGAGACCAAGAGTCGTATATACCTTTCCCAGCGCTTGCCAGTGAAAGCATATTGTATATGCGAGCACCTTATGAGGGTGCTATCCGTGATAGTTCCGTCAAGGAGTGTTGCACAAGAGTTGATCACTGCCAACGTCTTATAAATCAAGAGGCACTTAGCGTCCTTGTGTGTGACACTCTAGTATGGGACTGCGAGATTTGTGTTTGTTCAATGAGTTCATAATCCTGATGCAGTAGAGGTTCTCTTGACAAGACAGTTCTCATTGATTATTGTGCCGTCACTCTGCCTATTTTGTCTTGAAATTTGTTCGTCTTGCGAACCCTCAAATATACAGAATTCTATTTATATATTTTTATATTTATAAATATGATATTCTGTCTATCACAAGAAGGCTATGATTATTCTCACTCTCTGAGAATGAGTCATTTCCATAAAATATACCATAAAATCGGCTGGCGAATGTAGTCTTTAGACCTTCTGCGGCTCTGCCAGACTGCCACACTTCGAGGTGGGGGCTGGGCTCTGGGCTCTGCCACACTGGTTGGGGGGATGGGCCTGGGCTCTGGGCTCTGGGCTCTGGGCTCTGGGCTCTGGGCTCTGGGCTCTGGCACTGGAGAGTGGAGACTGGGACTCTGGAGTCTGGGCCCCTGGCCCTGGTACCTTGGCCAGTAGGCTCGGAGTCTCGGACTTCTGACTCATAGAGTCGGTATCGGGAATTAAAACTGGGCTGCAGTCCTGACTGTATTTAGTCTGTACTCGAGTCTGTATTCTGTCGTGTGTAATATTGTAATACATTTAAAAAAAAAAAAGACGATAGTAATAAATAAATAGTTATATAGTGGAGTTGTAATGAGGAAATCATTCCGGGATAATTCCGGGAACTGGTAATGTCATAATTTTCTAGTTGTTGCTGTTTAACTTTTATTTCTATAAATATTTCGATTTTCCCGCTAAAATCCTTTTTGGAAGCCGTGATGATAAATACTTTTACCGCGTATTGTAGGAATTCCATATCGGGATCCGATTGCGGGACGAATATTATTCAAATCCACCCACACAAGAAGTGTGCATCAGAAATATCACAAGAGCATGTGCAGTCGGTGAAGCACACTGATGTATTTTATTTACAATTGATAAGGCTGTACACTCAGCACAGACAAGAACACGTACTGCTCAGTATTAGTATAGAAATAAGTACAGAACGCATACGTCAAACACAAGTTATAAAATATGGAGATCGAAGGAGTGGATAAGAAAGTCTGGCGATTATGGCGTATTCGTAAGGTATAATTTACTCGGAATGAAGATATATATTTTCACTCCTGCTTCTATAGTAGTCTAGTTCCACGGGTGTTGACATTCATTAATATCATTAGCATATTTACCTGATTGAATATAAAGATACGTACATACAAACACAAATATTTGTATATATATATATATATACA